GCTGAGGTGTGACTTCTGCCGGAAAGCTTTCTTACATTTTTTACATTCATATGGTTTTTCACCTGTGTGAGATCTGTCATGTACACTGAGGTGTGATTGCTGGCTGAAAGCTTTCTTACATTTTTTACATTCATATGGTTTCTCACCTGTGTGAATTCTCTTATGCATGTTGAGGTTTGACTTCTCATGAAAGGTTTTTCCACATTCGCTACATTCATATGGTCTCTCACCTGTGTGAATTCTCTGATGCTTGCAGAGGTTTGAGGACTTGTGAAAGGTTTTCCCACATTCATTACACACATATAGCTTCTCCCCTGTATGTGTTCTCTTATGGATTGTAAGGGGGAATTTCTTCATGAATGATTTATCACATTCACTATATTTATAGGGTTTCTCTTCTGTGTGTATTTCCTCCTGTTCAGTGAGTTCATAATTTTCATAGAACTTTCTCCAACATATGTCAAACTGAGAAGATTTCTCTGATACCGGAATTATCTCTTTGGCAAGAACAACTGACTTATGAAAGACTTTCCCATAATCAAATTTACAGGACATCTCACCGATATACACTTTCTTCTGTTCCAATAATATTGGCGCTGTGTTGAAGGATTTCCATTGTCCACTATATTCAAAAGCCTGCTGCTGAGCATGAATCTTGGAATGATGATTCAGATGCTCACAATATCGCCACAATTTCCCAGTTATATTACCTTCACCAGATTTCTCTCCAGCATGCATCCAATCAGCCTCTCTAGGAGGAAGTGCATTCCAACATACATTGAACTCTTTACACCTCATTCCTAAATACTTTTCACTATTTATAACTGAACTTGAAATATGGTTTGAGCGCAAATGAAATGCTTGTTCTATTTCAATTTTCTCCTCAGTTGATGTATTGCTGTTGGTAATTACAACATCCTGCAAATGTGTATCATGACGTTCTTGGCTTTTTGTAATTAGAACTTCAACTATCTGAACATCTAAAATAAGAAAAAATTACCATATCCATAAGCCACACATAAGTATTGCTTAAATGAGCATGTAAAGATAAAGAAGATTTTTCATATTCTCATGGCATAGGATTGTACAAAAATGAGTAATGGAAATTGGATTTATAAGTATACATGTTTCCTACATACTACCATAATGTAATAAATTGTATTAAAATATTTTCTAATGTTCAATTTTCTTTATTTTTCATTCATAAGAAAATATTTGGTAAAACTTTCACCTAAGCTTGGTCATAATTTTCAACCAAGTGCTTATCATCTGACACATGTTTACCCTATTTTATTTCTCTATTTTATTCTTATAACAACAGTGGGAATCACATAGTACTTTTTCCCCTTCTTATTCTGATTTGAGTATGGTAATACTTTATTAGATCAGGTACTTTCAGGTTCAGCAGAAAACCAATTTTCTTTCCTTTAAACAGAAATTTGGCTTAGGTTCAGAATTTTGCCCCTATTGTTCATTTAGTTTTCATTCTTCCCTACAAAAAGGCTATAGACATCTGGAAATTTTTCAGATAAAACATCTCCTCTCCCACACAGTAGATAAAGACATCTTACTACAAATTTCTCATTTAACATCACTGCCTCTGCTTCTCAAAAAACTCCATTTTACCACACTGTGCACCCCTTTTCTGCAGGTTTAAGACATCTGGTTGTCAACCCAGGATGTACCCACAATATTTCCATTTCTATTTAGCTCCTTCTGGGTTAACTGGCATTCTACCTTCATTTTCTGGTGCACATACCTCTGCTTTATAATTTGCTGCTTCTGAAGGCTTTTAGTTTTTTGCAATGAAGTTTCAGTTGTGTCCTATTTTCATAAAAAAATCTTGTGTACATTCCTCGTTCTCTTTGTTGGTTTAGAATAATATTCACAAAGAGAAGGGGAACATGCTAACTTCAAGTTCCAGTACTCCACAAAAAAATCTGAGCCCTTCAACATAAAACTCTTGCTTCACTTGATGTTGGGACAATCTCCTGAATCTCCTTCCAAGTCCAGTAGCTCCTTTCCAGGTGCCTATGCTGTGTCCTTAACACCTTCATACTTTCTGATTCATGGTACACAATGCTCACTTCTCAACCTCTTTGCTCATTTTCTTATCAACACCCTACGTAACCTCCTCTATAATTATGACTTTAAAAATCATCTGTAAGCCACCAATTTCCAAATTTGTAGCTCCAATAGTGATGTCCTCTCTAAACTCTCAATTTTATAGTTATGTAAGTATAATATGTCAAATCTGGAAAAGAGTTAAGTTGAATTTACGTTATGCCAAAGTAAACAATAATCTTCCTAGAACTGCCCAATCTGGATATCCTTCTTAAATTCTCACTACCCACTTTTCTGTCTCTCTCACTGTGGTTACATATTCCTCATGATTCTAATACAAATATTTAATGTATATTATTATCTTGTTTCTCACCAGAATGTGAACCCTATGAAAGAGACATTATTTAGATTATTGCTGTTTTAAATACAACTATATATAAAATAAACAATGCTTAAATCCCATTTAATTATGATGTAGTTAAAAAATATGTGTATAAATAAATGTTTGTGCTATAATTTAAATGTTCCCCCAAACTCATATTGAAGCTTGATCATCATATTAACAGTATGAAGAGTGTGGAAAATCTAACTATGGTATTTGAACTGTAAAGCTTTGACGAAGCTATTAGATAGTGAAGGCCATGCCTTTATGAATGGATTGATCTGTTCATGAAATAGTGAGTTAATGAGTTACTGGGGGTAGATTGGTGGCTTTAAACAGCATGTGGACACACGTTTGCCACTCTCACCTTGTGATACACTGCACCAACCATAGACTCTGCTGAGAGTCTCCACAAATGAGAAGACCCCCACCAGAAGTGACACCTCAACCTTGGACTTGTCTGCCTACATAATGATAAAAAATAAATTTTGTTTCCTTATAAATTACCCATTTTCAGGTATAAAGTTACAAGCAGAAAAACATGGACTAAAACATTCTGGAAGAAGATGTACATGATAATGGACCAAAAGAGAGCTAAAAAGAATACTGATAAAGTTCACAGTTAATAAAAGGGTTTAAAACAAGAAAGGTAGAGATTAGATTTGGGGAAGTATATGAACTACTCATAAAAATAAAACGTGGGTGTATAAGTGTTAGAGCCCTCTTTGGAGATTATATAATGCATGAGTNACGGAAATTTGGCTTAGGTCCAGAATTTTGCCCATATTGTTCATTTAGTTTTCATTCTTCCCTACAAAAAGGCTATAGACAACTGGAAATTTTTCAGATAAAACATCTTCTCTCCCACACAGTAGATAAAGACATCTTACTACAAATTTCTCATTTAACATCACTGCCTCTGCTTCTCAAAAAGCTCCATTTTACCACACTGTGCACCCCTTTCCTGCAGGTTTAAGACATTTGGTTGTCAACCCAGGATGTACTCACAATATTTCCATTTCTATTTAGCTCCTTCTGGGTTAACTGGCATTCTACCTTCATTTTCTGGTGCACACACCTCTGCTTTATAATTTGCTGCTTCAGAAGGCTTTTAGTTTTTTGCAATGAAGTTTCAGTTGTGTCCTATTTTCATAAAAAATATAATCTTGTGTACATTCCTCGTTCTCTTTGCTGGTTTAGAATAATATTCACAAAGAGAAGGGGAACATGCTAACTTCAAGTTCCAGTACTCCACAAAAAAATCTGAGCCCTTCAACATAAAACTCTTGCTTCACTTGATGTTGGGACAAACAATCTCCTGAATCTCCTTCCAAGTCCAGTAGCTCCTTTCCAGGTGCCTATGCTGTGTCTTTAACAGCTTCATACTTTCTGATTCATGGTACACAATGCTCACTTCTCAACCTCTTTGCTCATTTTCTTATCAACACCCTAGGTAACCTCCCTTATAATTATGACTTTAAAAATCAGCTCTAAGCCACCAATTTCCAAATTTGTAGCTCCCATAGTGATGTCCTCTCTAAAATCTCAATTTTACACTTATGCAAGTATAATATGTCAAATCTGGAAAAGAGTTAAGTTGAATTTACGTTATGTCAAAGTAAACAATAATCTTCCTAGAACTGCCCAATCTGGATATCCTTCTTAAATTCTCACTACCCACTTTTCTGTCTCTCTCACTGTGGTTACATATTCCTCATGATTCTAATACAAATATTTAATGTATATTATTATCTTGTTTCTCACCAGAATGTGAACCCTATGAAAGAGACATATTTAGATTATTGCTGTTTTAAGTACAACTATATATAAAATAAACAGTGCTTTAAACCCACTTATTTATGATGTAGTTAAAAAATATGTGTATAAATAAATGTTTGTGCTATAATTTGAATGTTCCCCCAAACTCATATTGAAGCTTGATCATCATATTAACAGTATGAAGAGTGTGGAAAATCTAACTATGGTATTTGAACTGTAAGGCTTTGAGGAAGTTATTAGATAGTGAAGGCCATGCCTTTATGAATGCATTGATCTGTTCATGAAATAGTGAGTTAATGAGTTACTGAGGGTAGATTGGTGGCTTTAAACAGCATGTGGACACACTTTTGCCACTCTCACCTTGTGATACGCTGCACCAACCATGGACTCTGCTGAGAGTCTCCACAAATGAGAAGACCCCCACCAGATGTGACACCTCAACCTTGGACTTGTCTGCCTACATAAGCCTACATAACTATAAAATATATATTTTGTTCCTTATAAATTACCCATTTTTAGGTATAAAGATATGAGCAGAATAACATGGACTAAAACATTCTGGAAGAAGATGTACATGATAATGGACCAAAAGAGAGCTACCAAGAATACTGATAAAGTTCACAGTTAATAAAAGTGTCTAAAACAAGAAAGGTAAAGATTAGATTTGGGGAAGTATATGAACTACTCATTAAAATAAAATGTGGGTGTATAAGTGTTAGAGCCCTCTTTGGAGATTATATAATGCATGAGTTTGTAAGTAGGCCAGCAGTTCTCTGGTCTGAAATCTAGCAAATATATTGGTAAAAACAGCTGAACATGACCAAAATCTGCTGGACCTGACTCTTTCCAGCCTCAGTGCCCAGGACATACTGACCTTGTAGACTCTGGTTTGGGGAGTCTATTGTCCATTGTTCTGCTTCTTGCTCCAACTTGAAAAGCCTCAATGACCAGGACATACTGACCTTGTAGACTCTGGTTTTGGGAGTCTATTGTCCATTGTTCTGCTTCTTGCTCCAACTTGAAGATCACTTCAGGTTTGGTAATGGAGTACCCTTTAATGGATAATAACAGGGACTTTAATACAAAATTGTTGTCAGGTTCTTGAAAGGATGACAAGAGCTCACCTTAAGATGCTATGAAATGACAGGGCCAATTTCAAAGTTTCTTTGGAGAGGAATGATGCATGCTTTATGGAATAAATTCCTACCTAAATAGCATTAAATCTTATAAGTAGTTACTTTGTTTACCATAGAAGAAGAAAGTACTGCCCCTGACACTCAGGAGTTTCACTCACCCAATGACACCAGGTTGCTGTAGGTCTCCAGCATCACATTCCAGTACAAAGTCCTCTGACCACCATCAAGGTCCTGCCACTCCTCCCATGTGAAGTCCACAGCAACATCCTCAAAAGACACTAGCCCCTGTAACAGCAATTTTCTCCTCAACTCAAGTCACCAGACCTGGTTCACAAAATGGAAATCTGGAAGTTCATAACTCCGTGGGTGCATGTACATATGTATCTTACAACAGGTACAGTATCCCATATGGTAGAAGAAAGAAAAATCACAACAGGAAGATTATGCAAGTGTGATAAATTATTAATTACAAAAAAAACTCTACTACAAAGTCACTTTACATATCTAGACCATCATTCTTGCTACAGATAAAAGGATGAATAAAATTCTACTCTTCCAAGGGATCTATGATATAGTATGAAGACATAAGTATAAATACTTACCTGAAAAAAAAGTGTGAGTTGAAATAATTTAGCATCAAGTTCAATATAGGGTGGCACAAGAAAGAATGAGAAAATATAGTTCTATTTTGTGTTCAGTTTCAACTCCACTGAA